TCAGCATTTCCCATTTTTCAATGCGCAGGGTAGCACTCCATGATACCATACTGCTAGATTAAGAAGTGTAAACATAAAAAGTCCACATTAGCAAGTATGTGAGGTGATGGTAGACCTTTACTCAGAGTGCATGATTAGATCGTACCCAACTTCAGTAGGAGCTTGGAGAATCTGGGAATGGATGGCTTTAAACGGGTCAGAGATGGCTAAATTCATTTTTTTAATTATGGGAATGAAGGGGAAATGAATTGAATTGAAGTGATCACATTTTAAGTTTATTCAAATGACAGCTGCTTTTTTCTTTCATCTACCTATTGATGAGACAATACGTCTAACTAACTAGAGGGTTGGGGTTAAGCTCAAAGGCTCAACAAAAACATTAGTTCTGGGTTCTTTACCTTATTGGTTGTGCCACACAAGCATTTATCAGTGGTACAGGACAGCAAAAAATGATATATATGTATATATATATATATACATATATATCACCAATTTTTAAAAAAAATAGTCTTAGCTCTGCTACATTTACTTGCTTCACAGACCTGCACACACCCATCTATGCACAAACACACACTTCAATTCACAGTGAAATCTCATGAACATGGAAATTGTGGCACGCACACACTCATGTGCTATCTCGCCACACATAGCAGTTAGCTGAAAAGGCAGGAGGACCTGCTGATGCACCCGCACCATATTCTGTGATCCATGTCAGTCCTGTTCACACAACCGAAAACACAAGACACGCCTCCCCAAAGACCCAGAGATCCTTTATTCCCCTATCTCTGCACTTTGCATATGCAAATAGCCCCTAAAGGAGTTTTTCACTTGGTGAGTTAGTCACTAAGCAACCAGAGATAACGGTTAAACTTCCAGTTTTCAATCTTCCCCTGTATATGCACACACTGTCAAGCTTTTCTGAGTCAATTTTTCACAATTTGTCTGCATATTTGTTACATTTTCATGGCACATTTATGAAGCAAATAATCCATTTTGAAGGTGACTTTTATTGATTTTCTGGTAGCATGATTACGCTTCAGAAACATGACAAAGAATTTGAATACACTGGATATTGCAGAACCATAAAACACAGATGATCTGATGTTGTGGTTCTGTTTCTATTAAAAAACAGACAGAGATATCCACAAACATGTATGCATAGACAAAGATTAAGAGATTAAGCTATTCCCTTTCTTTCACCGCATCTTTCAACACTTATGTAAAGTGCATAATGTAGATATAAGTATACTAACGGATGGACTGGGCACAGCAAATGTTTCAGCACCTCTTGGATATTTGCAGTAATGGAAAAATGCATTCTGTCTTACTCAAAAATGTAAAAATCAGCATAAAAGATCAAGTTTGTTGTCAGAAATAATTGAATTTACACAATTATTGTCATGTCAGTTTAACTTGAAGCCTAATTTCATATAAATCATTATTGTTATATAACACTAATGTAGAACAATATTTTTGCTGGACCAGTGCATTTCAGCTTGTGGTCTTCATTGTGATCATGCTCGTCGTGTTGCCTTTGTGAAGGACTCTTACCAAGGCCACAGGCTGACAGTAAGAATATAATTGTTCTGTAGAATATAAAATAAAATACTACCACATTTTAAGTATGTTGAGTATCATAAATATTTAAGTGTGGCTTGAAATTTACACTACATGTGTGGAACATTTTACAGGATTTTTTTTGTGGCACATTATTTTGTTTATGATGTAGTCTACTGACTTTCTTAGAAGTGTGGCTGTATAACTAGACACAAACGCATGCAGGATAATAGGAAACAGTAACAGGTAATTGATTTAGCAGGTAATTCCAGGAAGGAATGCAGGAATGTACTATAACCCTGAAGTGCTTATGTATCTGGATACGTTATGTTTACATCATTAGACGCTGTGAACTGGTCTATTTGCTATTGTTACAATCACTGATGCTCATCATCGGTATTTATCCAGTATTAAAAAGCGCCCTGCGAAAAAGCTGCTTGCCCATTGGCTCAGTTATAGTTTGATTGAAAACACACATTTTCCACAGGAATCGAAGCTAAAACCATGCGCTGTCAGGCATCGAGTCATACACGTACATGTACTGTTACTGTTATTCTGTCAGACTGATTCAGTTTTGTCGAGATATAGCTTACCTGTACATGAACATTTAGCATAATGTTAACAATACGCAAGATCTGATAGTACATCAGCTGAGCATGATGGATAGATTTATGTAGCATGGGGTGCGTGTTCTTAAATTTGGCCTTTCCATTTTGGTAGTTGCTTTGAAGTCAGGAGGCCATGTCTAATATGATGTTATGGGAAGTGCACTCTTGCAGACTTTAGTAAACAGATCAAATAATTATTTAACTGTAGCTTAAACTCTGTATGACAGCTCATTTGCATGAAATGGGCGGTACAGTGTCATCTGCTGTGAGACCCCAGTCAACTCAGTCTCACTGTGGGGGATAATAATTAGGCAATTAAGGAAATTACTGATGTTCTGCAAGCAACTATCTTCCTCTATCTCATTACCCTTTAAAAAAATACAGTCAGTGGAAGGACTCCAGTACAAGTCAAAGTGAGACTGAAAACTGTTACCCTGATCATTTCTCATGTCTTTTGTTAAATCAATGATCTCTTTTATTGAACTGAGCAACTCACAAATATATGGTTTAAGTGCAATTTTTATATAAAAATGACCAGGGTGTCCATGCGGCTATGAAGCCGACATATTCAGATGCCATCAGTCGAAAGGGGGCTTATTATGGAAGCAGAATACCAATGAAATATACCAGCATTCACCCAGATAGCAAACCTCCACTGCACTGAGGAGAGGAATAACTTAAGTGTATACATAAATTAAGGCAACTGACGCCAATCTACGTGTTCCCAGCAGTGTTTGTTAACGCTGCTGCAAAAGTCCAATACAACACTTTAAATCTCTGGCCTCTTTGAAGAAGTATTTGTGTATGAGACTTGATCACAGCCAATTTCACAAATTACAGCAACTTTTGGCACACCAGAGTTTTAACTCTGACTGTAATTGGCTGAGATTTGCTCTGAACCCATCTAGTAAACAAGGCTCCCTTCTCTGAGGAGAAGTAGGCAGGCTTCCTAAACTTGCACACACACACACACACGTATATGCCACCTCACATATTTTTTATTCATTTTCAGTAACACCAGCATCAGGGTCAATGTGGCCAGTCATGGTGCAAAACTAATCCAGTTTACATCACACACATATTTCATTCATCCATTTTCAGGAAGCCCTTTTATTGTCAGAGAGAGGAAAAATAAAGTATTTGAGCAACCAGGGGAATGCGTCCAGACCACTCAGTTTTTAGCCAGGGATGTAAATCACTGTTTAAGTCAGGAACCTTTACACAAAACTGCTCATCATCTAATTCTACACAGCACTGTGCTCAGAGATAATGGCACAAAAGAAAGGTAACAGATGGAAAATGCTAGTAGATGAAATACTAACAAAATATTGTATTTTTTAGTGCTGTCAGCGTTAACCTCGTTAAAATGAAGTTAATGCCATAACCGCATTAACACGGCAAATCTCAGTTAGCGAGTTAGCGCGGATCGCCCCGTGCGTGGGGCTGGACGGCACTAACGCGTTAACAAGCTAACCGCGCTAACGAGCTAATCGCGCTAACGCTTTGACGCCGTGCATGCCGCTCTAACTCACTAACTGAGATTTGCCGCATTAATGCGGTTATGGCGTTAACGTCATTTTAACAATATTAACGCTGACAGCACTAATTTTTTATGTTTTACTGTGTGGTTCAATGACTTCATTGAATGTACATTTAAAGCATCTAAGAAAATGGATTTAATCATATTAGATGTGCTAGTGTTTGCTGTGTCTGGAAGTACGTTCATAAGGGGATGGTCGCTCTAGCTTTATGTTTTGTTTGTTGGACTTTGGTCATTTTATTACAACATATCTTGTAAACAATTACTGGCAAGCAACATTTAAGCACTCTTTCTTTCTGCTTACAGCAGCTTGAATGGTCACATGCAGTCTATGAATGCAGCTACTTGCTACCAAGCCTACTGTTCACTTTTCGACAAAAATGACTAAGAAATAAACATAAATTAATTAATTAAATGGTTATAAAGCTAGCTTAGTTGAAGGTTCAAAAGCCCCAAAAGGTGATGGCTGATGGCACGTTGGCCATGTCCATCTTTGATGTACAGTCTATGTTTCCAGCTTATTGGCACTATAATCAAAGCCCTTCTTGTTCAAGTCCAAATCACGTAGCACAAAAACGATCAGCTTTTCATTAATTTTATGCAAGAATGTATTTTATATTAAAATATATATATTACATGAAATGTACTGAACAGCAGCACTTTTTAGAAATGGTCTGCACAAGAACTTCAAGCATGGAAATGGGAATTAAAGCTGCTAAAAGCAGGCATGCATTAGTACAAAAACCACATCAGTGGTTCAGCACATTTTTTTGCTGGGCTGAGAGAAGAAAAATAAGAGCAGTGGAAAGCTCCCACATCCAATGAAAAGTCCTGCTGGAGCTGCCAGTGCTTCAAAACAGTCTCTAAACCATCTGCTCTATGATCACCTCATTCAGAACCAATAAGATATACTGACGTTCACCACCCTCCTTCCAAAACACACATTTGCAGGAAAATGCCCAGAAAAATTTTCACCCACAGGGAATTGTCTCCAGGTGCAACTGTGTTCTCTTCCTTATTCACATACTTGTTTTCAGCCATTCAAAAAACATGCACTGGATCGAAACCATCTGCTGGAGCTTGAATTCACAAGCTGGCATAACACATCCACCAAGAAATATGTATCACAGTCACTATGGCAACATGTTTCCAAGCACCAAACAAAACAAATCTGCATCAAACCATATAAGGGGAAATCAGCATTAATGCTTTGTTTGTGTTGTGTGGAGTTGATCTTCTAAAATCTACCAGCTACTAATCTAGGGAAATGAGAAGTGTAATCACCCCGCCCAATAAAACTATAAGATGCGTAGTGAGTTTTACACAGGTTTAATGCATGGAGTCTGTGTTCATTTTTATAGTTCCAATAATCCTGTCTTTTTTTCGATAATGCAGAGATGGTGGGTGGAGCAGACATCGTAATCCTGGACTGGACTTCGAGGATTAGGCTGAGATTGTCTGGACAGCGCAGTGGGAGCAGATTGAGGCTGTTTTCTCACACACACAGTCTCAGAAAGAGCTCAGGGGTAATTAACGATTTGAACTGTGATTGGTCCATTTTGTTAAACTTCTCAGGATTTCATGTATTGTTACTCACTCAGTGCAGTTTTGAGTTTATGCCCCATGGGTGACCCTGAGATTCCAGACCACACATACAGTGTGTGGTCTGAAAAAGACCATTTATAGCCCCCAGATTATATAGACAGCCTAAAAACAAGCTGCTTTTGCACCTCCTTGTTAGGTGTAGTACAATCCCAACAGGTTTTCATTCATGTCAAGCTTTAACATTCAGTTCAGTACAAAGCACATACAGCTGAGAGCTCAGCAGCCAGTAATTCATCACTGAGCTATCAGATTACAGTTGTTTATGAGACTTCTGCTGTCTTTGCTGAGCTTCACTCATGAAATCTTTATCAGTCTCATCAGTGTAGTCACTTTCACTTTAGTCAGTTTCTTTTGTACATGTAAAACCTGTGTCAGAAATATAGAAACAATGAAACCATGAAAAGAGTTAATGTGGATTCAAACTTTACATCTACACGAACACATCGACATTTAGACCTTTTCAGCTTGTGATTTGGGATGTTCATATTAATGTATAAGACAAGATTTTCTTATAATATAGTTCAGCCAAATTGTTCACAATGTTCAACACGGCCAGGGGGCACCGATGCAGAAATATCAAAACATTACAACATCAGCCCTGACAGAGAAGAATTTAAAGCAACAGCAGTGTTTGACACATAGGCAGCGAAGTCAGATAAACAGTAGTATGACTTGTTTCTTGCCAGGGCCTGTTGTCTTCCTCTTTGACACCTGTTAGAGCCTGAGGGTACGAGAGCTGCCATTTCGAAGTAAACCAGGTCATGAAAATGATCAACAACAACTGCTGGTGTGTGTCTTTATTGAAACACAGAAGCACAAACATATCGGTAACCTTTTTCTTTTGTAAACGGGGGTTAAAGTGGGTTGGATATAGATATTCTTATTTAAACATTTCATGACACCACTCATACCCTTAACATATCCCTTCTCTACCTCGTACAGATGTAAATAAAGATACGGTGGAAACTTGAAATTAAAATCTGTCATCTTTATAGTTTTAAAGTCAGGTCTTGGATCAACACAGAATGTTTTTTTGTGAAACATCTTCCTAAACTAGTTGAAGTATACTAATTTTGTGTTATTCAAAGGTTGCATGAAAATACTGCACTAAAGAGTTTGGAATAGTTCAGTGCAGGATAAACTGGTAGGCTGTGTTATGGTGAAATCTGATCAGGCTTTGATGTTTGTGGTCAAGAACAGCAGACATCAAATTATGTTTAAGGTAATGATGGTGATTTGATTCACTCACCGAAAGCAGTCAGTATCGGAGTAGCAGTACAGTTTAGCTAATCATAGCCTGCAAACAAAGAAAAATACACTGGAACTCACAAAACATGTTATCATGTGACGCCTAATATGATTTTCCTCACGCTGCACTGCACCAAATCCCATCTTACTCCCCGGTTCATAATGTGATATAGTCATTAAAATTTTGCAAAATTAAACAATAATTAAACCTTAAAAGGGGGGCATCTAAATTAAACTGTGATTTGCCTGGTCCTGAAAAGCTAACAGTGGTTCAATCAATTTGTTCTAGGAACAGAGGAAAATTCAGCTAAAGCCCTCCAGGCGTGAGGTTTCTTTAGTCTCTCAATCATATGCTGACAAGTGGGTTAAAATTTGGTTTACTGGTTTGCTTGAATATGAAAGTAGCTTGCTTGCTTAATAAAACTGCCATCTCTTTGTCGCCTGTCGGGACATGTCTGCTGTGCACAGCACAAAAGATGTGAGGGCATGACATCATCAGAACTTTCTGCCTCTTTAAGCAAAAAGGCCCAAGATAAATGGTTTACCATAAACATGCACAATCCTCATCAAGCAATTCCTTAGATACGTTAACCTCATTTTACATATTTAAAAAAAAATCAAGGGGTAAGACTTGTATGGATAACTCAAAATAAACAAATCTGTATTTTTGGCTGGTTTTACTGTTAACTGGCACCTTGATAATCAAAATTATTATTAATCAGCCAGTTGATTAACTATCATCAAACGTTAAAGTATAAAAATGGCATTGCAAATATTCTGTTTGAGCAGCAGATTTAGGTCACCAACATAATCTCTGTGGCAGATATCCATGTACTGTGAACTGTGTCAGCTGCATCATCATCATCATCATCATCACCATCATCATCATCATGGTGCTGCTGGTGGCTGTCAAATCCACTGACTCATAAACACCCACCACTTTGCCATGTCAGCATATCGTAATGTCAGTGTGTTTGTACATTTCATACTGACAAATGGCTGCACAGACAGTGCTTATGTGCATGTGTGCGAGAGAGGTTTGTGTGTGTGTGTCTGCCAGAGCGTCTGTGTGTAATCAGAAGAGTGTTTGCACATGTTTTTAAAGTAAGCAGACCTACGCAGTTTATAGCCTCCTTCTTAACCACATCACACAAGCCACCTCGCCTGTGCCATGCCTGTGTGTCTCTTCACAGGTCTTTTTTGTTTTCTGTAGAAACTGCAGTTGAGATTTCAGAAGAAGTGTAACCTCCAGCGGAGAAAGGAGCTGTGCATCGTGCGTTCTTGCAAAAATCTGCGGGCCACTTTGATTAGTAATTGCAAGATATGCTACATGTGAGTTTGAATCCACCCACTTCACTTACCTCACAAATACACAGTAAACAAATGCATGGTGTACACTCAACACCCACAGAGGATGTATAAAATGACATACGGAGAAAAGATATTTAGACTAAAAAGATGCATAGAACCGCATGCTTGTTTATCGCCCATTTCCAAATGTTTTCCGCTCTTCTTTCAGCCTCACATCTACAACCGCATGCGTCACGGCTACTGTAAGACAAACACCTATTATCCTCGAGAGACTGTTGACTCAAATCTACCAGTAAGTCCACTCGAAGCCCTGGAAACACTCGTTTTGCAATGGCATGTCTCTGCCTGCCAAACACAAAGCCGATAGCATCAATAAAGAAAAGTCACCGCCTCCTTGTTGCCACTCAATGCAGGCACTTATCTGGTTGATGGATCCCAGAAAATGTGTATATGTAGTTGTTTTATTTGTTGATACAACCCTACATCAGTGATCTGATTTTTTGGCAAATCTTTCAGGTCTCAAGAATTTCTATGACTAGTTGACTGATTGTTAGCAGTTGTATCTGATATATAATAAACACGAAGGATTTCTTTCCTTTCATGATTGCTACTGTGGCCTTTTTAAGGATGTCAGAGCTAACAGAGTGCGACACGGAAATCTAGGCTACAAAATACAGGATTTGAGAAACATTAAAAGATTTCCATGGTAATCTGTGTGAAAGAGGTTAAAGCTTTAAAAAGTGCTGCCTTCTAAGTATGATTAGTATGTAGCTGTCTTTCTGCTTTCTCCGTCTTATCACTCTCTGTTGGAAACACGAGCTGATGTCTCTCCAACTCTTCTCGTGTTTTTTCACGGCAAACTTTCTCACAAGCCTTTCTGTTCTCTCTTTCTCTCTGTTGTGTTTTTCTCCTCCCCCTGCACTTCCTCGACTGTGGCCTGCACGATTGGTCGGAGGAGGTGGAAAGTTGGCCAATGAGAAGACAGTTGCCAGGCAGTCTGTACCTTGTTTGGAGGCGGCTGGAGGCTCACACAGCTGTTCCATTGAAAAGCAGCAGGACATAATAACAGGGGCCCCTCGCCAGACACATACACACACACACACACAAACACACACCCACACACGCACACACACGCTCGCTTCACGCACACACACGCTCGCTTCCACAAAGGCACACAATGCAGGCTGAATTGAATTCTGTGGTCTGAAAAGTTAACTGCGCTACTTTTTCTGTCGACATATGTGTCCGTTTAACATAACAAATGTGGCATACATGTGCTTAGCAGTTATTTTGAGACATTTTTCCCGAGTTTTGTCTAGTCCAAATGCGATGTTTATTTTCTTTTGCGTGCAAAAGTTTGGTCTTGGGGTAATACCTGGCTCTTTAGTGGCAAAAGGTTCTGCTATGTTGACCATTTATTGATTAACTTTGTTTTTCCTCTCTTGGGCGAATTTTTCGAAAAAAAAACAAAACTTACTAAAACAAGCTCTTGTATGTCATAGATCATCAGCGCTGGATGCACTGTTTTTCATGCTGTACTAACAGAGGAAACCACAAAAAGAAAAAAGAATATAACAGCGATGTTGTGTTTCAAGGTCAACGACTTGTTTTGCAGTGCTGCAGCGTACCTAATAACACTGGAGAATTGTTAACTGGGCCCAATGACCCACATCACCCGGCAAAACACTGTGGATCCATCTGTCTCTGTGTCCCGCTTTAACAATGCAACTCCTTTACGCTGTGTGCACTTTTTTCCACCCACATTTTTGACACCTGTTGCCTGTGAGGACAAAGAATCAATCCAAGCTGCCCTTGAGAATTAAAAAGATTTTAAAAAAAGCATATACATTTTAAATGCACAGAGCCGAATATGTATATACATGAACTGACACATGCATTGTGCGGCATATGGTGAGCTTTTCTTGGCTGATGGCATCAATAACAGCTGTCAAAAGTGGCTTCGGTAACATGAGTCACTCTAGATGAACAAAGGGGTATTTTAAAGGACAAAAGCATCCGCTCTGCTACAGTGCTTCAGCATTGCTTTTGTTTCATCTTGCAATATGTGGTAGCCAAATGTCAAAGCTTCTTCAGATTGTTGCTTTTACACTCTATTTTTCTAAAAAGAAAAAAAAACTAATGGATTGTTGTTGTTTTCTCCATGGGAAACGTCAATTTCAAGGGTGTTTGTAAAGGCCTGTACATGTGAGTCTCTGTGTGTAAGCAATCAATAGGCCTCCTGAGTTGTGTTGCTGTTATAGAGATGAGTCTTCTTCAACAAAGAAGTGGGAATGTAAAACAATTTCAAGGTTGGATGTCTAGGGTCATAAAGAAAAATCTGCTAGTATGAAATTGCTGTTCCCTCTTTTCCCACAAGTTAATGAGTTACTAATTCAAACACAGTATAAACCCATGTTGAAACCCATGTTGATGACTTTCTTTGAGTTAGCAGTGCCCTTGTCATTTTAGACCTAACTGTGCTTTGATCAGTCTGTCCTGACCGTTGATGTGATGTTTATGAAGAACTGACTGACCCACAGGTTAGATAAGCTTCATTAACACTAAAGAAAAATATGTTTTTTGCCAGGGTGAGGCTTTCACTTCAAAGGCCTTCTTCCTTCAACTTCAAATTAAAGTGTAAGGAAAGAGCCAAAGTCCTATTATAATCTATGTTTTTCTGCCTCAACCTCCTGTTTTACTTTCTGAATCATTTTTATTCTTTATCCTCATTTCTCCAATGCTTCTTGCCATGTTGACACAAGAACTAAAACAAAACCACCTTCATTTGGTGAAGCTATTCTAGGCAGGGTTAAGACAACAGTGCTGTGGGGTGCTCATGATTACTTCTATCCTTTTTGGCCAGAAGGACGAGAAAATATTTAGAAATTCTTAAAAAAGTATGCAAAAGGATAGCTAAAGTACAATCTGTGCACTTCCTGTTTTCATGCTCATGTAAGCTCATGATTTTCCTGAAATTCCTCTTTTCTTTTTAGTGCACTTTTGATATCAGGAACACAGTCTGGAATTTTTTAAAGAACAATCCATAACCTTGAAAAATTCCAGTCACTAAAAATCATTAACCATCTACGACAATATCAGATCTTCAAACAACTGAACTGGACTAGTCAGTGTGTTAATGTTTACCTTATGTTCTTCTGCCTGATAACAGAACTGCTGACATTTATAAAAGGAATAGGAAATACACCACGAAAGGCACAACCTTCAAACTGTTCTTTTCTCAAAGTTTTTCTGCAAATTAGTTATGTTAATGAATTGGTATAATATAGCAATAAAAACATCACATTATATTTATATCCAAAATACAACAGATCTAATACTTCCAAGAAGAAGTATCGGGGTTGGTGCCAGGGGAAGAGAACTGTGCGGTCAACCAACTTTGACAAGCAGTACTTGGCTCAACTTGCTTTACTATTTCATCTAAAAAGAAAAAAAATGAGCGGCTTCATGCGCACACTTGCACTCAGACTATGCCCATAAAACAGAGGTTATAAACTAAGATGCACAGTCACAATATACAAAATAAGAGAGGCAATCCTATAATTCTATATAATAACCTATACACCGGGCCACCGTTACAGGCGACACAACAAATTTAAGGATAAACAACCTACTTTAAACCACATCATGAACGGGTATGCATAATTACAACCAAACACGCACAGTATGCTCATAGTTTTAAAAGTTTAAAAATATCTGTCTCAGAGGCCATAATATGCAAAAAAGTAGACATTTTTCTCAACTGTTAGCACAGAATATCCTCACCACCTTGTGAATGAGTCTAGCACTAGCTCTAATTATGGATACTGTGGTGGTTGCATGTATGACTTGAGCAACTAGAAAATCTGTGCTCAATTTTTTTGTGAGTGAAATTCTAGTTGGCCTATTACTTCAATGATTTATTAACAAAAATTAGCAGATATGTATGTGTCTGTGTGCTAGCTAGACATGCTACTTATTGTTAGCTTAGCACTCCACCCTGTTGACCAAATGTGTCACTTCTGGCTGCAAAACAAATAAGATGGCTAGCCTACGCTAAATATGCTATTAACTGTGCTAACTTTCAAAGCTGGCAAATAGTGACCCCCAACAAATGAATGATGAAGGAATATAGCTTGGATTCATCCTATTTTTATTACACAGTCATAGAGGTGAATATATAACCACAGTATATGATCCTATACATTCAGATAGTATAGATGCAAACACATGCTAGGTTTACACAAGTAATATCATTTGCCCTTGAAGGATAAGAGTGAATGTCAGTTGTGTGTTCTCCATTGCGTCATGCACACTGCACAAATATGGGTGCGACACATTTAGTGGACAAATTGATCACAGTCTGTGTCCTTTGCCCTTTGTTAACCCCCACCCCACTGGTGCTACTGCCAGCAGACAGGCTCCAAGCAGATGGGATAGTTTGAGGGGGGAGGGTTTATTTTTAACAGGCTTGTTGTCACTCAAGACTTTTTCTTCTACTTCTTATCTCTCACTATTTGATTTTACTTCATTCTTCTCTCTCTTGGTCACTTTCTCCCTTAGTTTATGTCCTCAAGTTACACAGTATTGATGTTTGGTCTTTTTATTGTAAAAGAGACTGTGCACTAGTAAAAAACTGGGTTAATATTCTCATCTATCACGTGTCCAGTTATCAACCAAGATCAGAAAAAGGTCCACTGTGGCTCTGCACAGAGAATGAACTGAAATCATACATCTTTATGTGTGACATTAATTCAGTCATATCTGTGACACACATGCAGCCATTCAGACCAATACCACACCGGTCTGTGAAGCTGATCTCAACTGTTTGGAGACAAATACGTTACACATACCTGTCTTTGAGTTTCTTCTTTTCCACTAAAGCCAAATTTAAAATAAATAACTAAAAGGATAAACTTCAAACCAAGCATCTGATCATTTGAAACCTTATAGACGTAAAAATCCGTGACAAGGTTGAAAAAAGTACGATTTAAAATGGTAAATTAAAATGATATCTGAACATCTGTTTTTCATTTGCTTCTTTGGGATTTGGAGCATACAACAACAGTAAGGAGTAACTGGTGAGGCTGATGGGCGGCTTTGAGGATACACTGGGGGAACAATCATTCAACTGTAAAAGTGATTTGGCTAGGAGGCAAAAGTCCAGACAGACAGATTGTGGGGTATATCATACACTTTGTCTGTGAAGGGGAATTTTGAAGCTGTCGATGGGAGAGACAGATAGAGAAAGGCTTTGAAATCGGTTGAAAGGGAGGAGGGGCAATGTTCTGTATAAAATATCATTTCATTTAAACACATACACGCATACAGCAGGCCCACATGCTGTACTGTGAAACACTCTTCCATATTTATAGCCTAAACAGGTGCAACCCTACGATACCACCTCCACCTCTGTTCCTTCCAGTATTGCTGCTTTTCACACCTACTCTCCTATACATTACGTCACCTCTGACAGGAAATGAGCCACTACTATTCAAGCAGCTGTAGAGACCGCTCTCTTCTTATGGGCTTTCATTTAGGTTCCCTTCCATGTCATTTATTATTCATGTGTATTAAAGTCAATATTGTTTTCTTCTCATGATCCAGAAGAACAGAACTGATCTAGACCCATACAAAACATTAAAGCCCATCTGCTGTGTTTTTTCAGTGCAGTCTTACGTAATAGGAGGCTCTTTTGGGGCAACTTGAGCAGTTATGTGTGAACATGCTGCCACTTTGTGGCCTTGCAATGCAACTACTATCAGATTGTTCTTTCACATGACATATTTTCTACACTAGAGGTCAGCATTTTAAAGGCATGCTTGTGTGTGACCATAATAAAGTAGTGAAACTGCTTTGGTTTGGTACAAAAGGGCATAGTCCACATTTCAAGTGTTTTTGGCTTCTAGTGAGAAAACTCAGTAAAGCTGTTTCTCACATTTGGATATTGTTTTTGAACAATAACCAATTTGTAAAGAGTTTCATCATTTATTCTATCTTGTCTAGTGTGGTTCTATACTCATGGATAAAACTGACTGAAAAGCATTGTTTGTCAGCTCTGCCTTTGTGTATTTTCATGACCATTTGTGTATCTGTTTTTTTTTAAAGATAAACATAAATACTCACATTCCCACACATAATAATGCAATGGAAAACTAAAAAGCAGTGTTCACCAAATGAGTTCAAATGATTTACGATGCAACAAAAACACATTCACAGATTATGCGCTTTAAAGACACACATCTAAATAAATAAATATCTGAACACTGAAGGGGAACGAAACCATCTGTTTGACATTTGCAGTTCGTTTTTCATTATTTTTAAGATGTGTTTTATACGGCATGGGAAAATTCTGTCCAAAATATTTACAGCTTTGAAAATTGGCCCTGATTTTCAGGCCCTCGCTGAGCACGTTGTGCTTTAATCCACATGATCTTAAAAATAGTCTGGTAATGAATGGTTGTTTTTGCACAACACAACTTTGTTCAGCTAAAGAAATAGCACAACACAAATAGTTTATTTAACTCTTTTTATTTGAAATACACATGTAACCTGATACAGTGCTGTTTTTCTAAATGTACATTAATTCCAGTGATCGCCAGGACAAAAAAAACTGAACGTGTGGAATTATTTGTCAAATCTGATTAACAACAAAAGCACAAGCTCCATGATTTGTTGCTCCCATTGCGAGTGAGATTTCTACTTTTTTGACATTTAATGAGTTGCAGTTTTTTCAGGGTTGATAGCAGTTTAATTTATACTGAAAATAATGAGTTGCTGCCCTTGTCAGCACTCATGCTGCATACCTTAGAGAGTTATTATCTCTGTGCACTGTGGGGCTAGGGCATGAGTCATGAATTGGGTTGTTTTCTGTCTAAGCTAACATTGTTGTTGTTAAGGCAAAACCTATCATGGTCTACTACAGCAAGTATGCTAGGACATCTCAGCCAAGTTCAAAATTAAACCAGACCAGACATTAATTTATTAGAAGTTTGTAAGATAAAGCCTTGATTAACCCTTCATGTCTTTATATTTTGCTGGGGGGAAATAATATGCACGTGTGTTTTGTGGCAGGCTGCTCTTAACAAAATGCTTAAAGATAAAATTTTAAATCGGATCTTTGCTAAGTTGTGTGTTATCTGAGAAAGGTCCATCTTTTGAGTTAGGTGATGTTTTTATGGTTGAATTATGTAAAGGTCAGTGTTAAGTGGCTTAAGAAACATTAAAACATTCCTCTAAAATGGTCAAGTACACAGAATGAGTGAAAAAGCATCCAAAGAAAAACTTTGCTAGACCTCCAGGATACCTAGAGAGTTATTACTCTAGACCGAGTCGCAATATGATCTGGCTCCTTGGCTGCAAAACACAAGAACTGAAGGCTGCAACAAGACTTTTGTGCAGTACTGTAACCTAATGCTGAAGAAGAGAATAATACATCTAACCATTCATCATAATCAAATTGCTATCATTGGTTTTTGCACTCCTGGAGTACTTTAAAATATTAGCATATGAGTGAAAGGCCAAGCAGTTTCCAGGATCCACTTCTCACCCTCATATAACCTCTTAGATGCAAATGCCTTCGCGTGGCAGATAGTAGCCACTGTAAAGCGGCCATCACCTCTGACCCCTCTTCCTAAAGTTGCCCCATTTTCCCACTATTGATCCTTCAGATTCCTCTGACATTGAGAGTAAGTGTGACAATCCTCTTCCAGATAAAGGCATTTTAGGAGTTATTACCCATGGCTTACCCAGAGCTTATGTGTGAAACCTCTCCATACAGAGAGGGGCACTGAAATGGACCATTAAAGTTAACTATGCCGGGGTAGTGTGTGGTTCAAAGGTTGCACTCTTTCTCCTGGAGTATTCTGTTCAGTAGCTTTTAAGTCTTCTGATGCTACAGATAGAGGCACGTGAGGGTCAACTGGAAAAGGCAGACAATAAGGGAATTCAGCATGATGGGTAAGCAACTCTCATACATCAGTTGAGCAATGTCTTTGTTGTGCTGTCCTTAACCTTCGTTATTTTACTCTATTATCATATTTAATGTATTATTTTACTGTATTCATATTATCCCTTTATAATTTTGGGATTCTGCATTCTATGTGTATTTAATTAATTTATTTAATTTTTTAGTTTTTTCACCAAAAAGTTATTTAAATATGAAGATGTGTAAATTGTTATTATTTGATATCGGGGGGTTTTTTAGAATGTGTTTGAAGCCAGAAAGAGGTCAGACCTGTTAAAAGGGAATGAAAATCAAAACCAAGTACATGTTATGGGACCTAAAATGTAGCACACATACACATGGTCATTTATTATATTGTATTACATACAGAAGCCATTCGTAACTTTCTAGGAAACTGGAGATTCATACAATCAGTTCATGTTTTTAAACCTGTTAAGGTTTAAAAGCTACTGGTCAAAAATAAATGTTTAGCACACTTTAAATATCTGTGGCTCAGGATAAATTCATCAGAAGGGGTGAATAAGGCTTGTACAAAGAAGTGCTCAAACAGATTAGAAAAGTGCCATTTATTGATTCAACAGGTTTATAAATGTAACCAGATTTTATTTTTAACGCTGAGAATGTTCTTATGACTCTTGTCTGAAATTTGTTTTACTGATATTTGTCCCTCAACAGAGAAAATAGAAGTGCTGACACTCACACTTGTCCTGCTGTGCACTGTCTCTGGATTTTCACAGAGTACGTATTACATTCCAGTAAGTTAAAGCTAGAAAGTTTTTAGCATTTTTGAGTTGACATTCTTTCAGTAAAGATAATCGTTTACAGACCTAAGCCCTGACATTCCCGTAAACACCTTTCATGTTAATTATGCTAGTTGTTGTAACGTGAAAGTGTAGCTTTTTAGTGCTTATTTAAATGTATGAACTTTCTGTCATTGCATTGTACAACAGGACTGACTTTCGCTCAGATAGACGGATGGAACAGCCATGACCAGTCTGACTTGAGAAATAAGGAGCTTAGCGATGTCTTTACATCTGCAGAGATGAGAAAAAATGGCGCCGAAAATATTACTGAGGAATCCACTCAAATGACAAAAACTGAGGAACAGAGGGGTGAAAGGAATACCTCAGAGAGGAACCCTACTAGAGAGCTTGTTGAGAAAGTAAAGACTGTGAAGGAAAGAAGGGGAGATGGACTGACTTCACAGATAGAAACAGAAATGGAGGAAAACACAGAGCGTGAAACGACCACAGCTGGCAGTATAGAAGGACTCTTTGTAAAGAAAAGTGATGAAGGGTACACCCCTGAGACATTTCTCACAAGTAGTCTTTTACACGAAGCAACAAAAAGAGAGATCTACTCTGTACCAGACACAGCTGAATATGTAGATACAGATAAAGAGGTTGCATCGAAAATGAGAGAAAATGGACCGAGTTTGGACCCTGCCTCAAAGACAGAGACACACAATGAGAGCAGTAGACTGACACGTACTGGGGAAAAATGGAAAATAGATCATGATCATGATGCAGTGATACCAGAGGAAGCGAATCACAACAGGATAGATGTGAAAGTGAAGAGAAGTGATCAAATAGAGAGGCAAAAACAAAAAATGGTTGAAGAGGAGCAAGAAGGAGAGCTAGTTGCAGGGATCAGTCATCAGGAGAAGAGAAGAGCGGCACAAACTATAAAAGAAATAGGAGACAAGGAGAAGGGCGCAAAAAAGAGTGAGGACATAGCCCATGCAGTCTATAAGGAATTAACAGAAAAAGAAGATCAGGTATTAATTAACAACATTGCATCTCCTTTAAGTATATTTCCTGCTCAGGTAGAAAATGCCACAATTCAAATTATCATCCGTTCTCAAAATAAGCCTCCCGCTTCTCACATCTCCCCTTCACTTCCTGTCACACCCACACAAATTCCTCCAGACTCCTCTCACCCTCCCACCCTTTACACCACGGATAGTTTTCAGTCTCCTTCTGTCAATATTCACATTCCTAACTCAGTCAGTCACATCACAGACTTAACAGAGAGTCTGGGGGGCCATCTCAAGCAGAAAGAAATGGAAGTGAAGGCTGGCTCAGTTATAGAAGATGTAATGGCTAAAAATGTTTTGTTGAAACCAGCATGGAAAGAGGTACAAACACACAGAGCAGAGGACAAGGGGGAAATAAACAGAGTTGTGCAACCATATGAGGGGGAATTTATCTTGTTGGTCCAAACAGCAACAACACAACCCAACGAAGCAAAGTTTTTCACCAGAGAGCCAAACTCAACATCAAAAATAAATGCAGTTTTATCTGCTGAAGTGCCTCGGCTTGCACACAAATCAAACACGTCGCAGTTGATGGGAAAATACCGAAATGTTGAACTGATGGAGAATTACACCAAACTTACAGGGAAGCAAAATAAAGCATCTTCTCCGCAACTACAGCTGAACAAATCTTCAGCCAAACCACAGCTCGGAACTGCCAAAACACCTTCACCGAGGCCAGTGAAAAACAACAAGCAAAGCAAAAATAAGACCATCAAGAAGTCCAAGGAAAAGAGAAGGAAGAAGAACAATAAAACCCAAAAGCCACCAAAAAAGAAGAAAGAAATCTTACCACCAACGCAGTTTCCTTACTTTATGGACAACTATTGTCCAATCCAGTGTGCCTGCTATGGAAGGTAAGACAAAGGATACTAAAATGAGACTAAGATACCCTTTCAATATTCTTAATATTAAATCACTAATGATTCTTTAATTGTATGTGTTGTTTTTAGAGTGGTCCAGTGCTCAGACAAAGGTGTGGATAAGGTTCCTTATGGTATCCCCTATAATTCCCGCTACATCCTCCTTATGAATAACTACATCAACAGCATCCAGCTGGACCTGCTAAATCAATATGACTCTATGGAGTTCCTTGTACTAAGCAACAATCGTCTCACAGATGGTTCAATTGAGGGAGCTTTTGAAGGGGTCCCAGCTCTGAAACGCCTCTACTTGGATAGGAATCTCTTACAAAGGGTGCCAGCAGACCTTCCAGCTTCTCTGGAGGAGCTTCGTCTGGACAACAACCGCCTGACCGTGATCTCGAAGGCAGCCTGGGCATGGTGCCCTGGCCTCTTGGTTCTGAGCCTCAGCAACAACAGCCTTGGGAATAATTCAGTTCCTAATGGCGTGCTCTCCCCTCTAGGGAACCTGGAATAAAATCTTTAAAGTGACAACAGGTGCATTCAGGATGCTGCCCGTACTGCACCTCTAGGGGTTACCATTGTCAATCAAAGAACTCTATCTTAAGGGTAACGTCCTTGAGAGTTTTGGCCGAGGAGCTTTCAACGGGAAATCAGGGTTGGTGGTGTTGGACCTGAGTGCAAACAGACTGATAAACAAAGGGCTAGATAGGGATTCCTTCCTCAATACAACGTTCTTGGAAAGCATCAACTTAGAGGGGAACAGACTAAAACAGGTGCCACAACACCTTCCTCTATCTGTTAAAACTCTAAATTTGGAAGGAAACTTCATATCTTCATAAAGAAATCAGCTTTCAGAAGTTTGAAAAAGCTAGAGCACCTAGGCTTAGCATGGAATAAAATCTTTAAAGTGACAACAGGTGCATTCAGGATGCTGCCCGTACTGCACCAGTTAGACCTGAGTCACAACACACTGAAGCAGGTGCCCAGACAGTTACCTAAAGGTTTGCACTCAGTAGCACTCAAGCACAACAAGATTCGGTCAGTGCCTCGTGATGCTTTCTGCTGGGGCAATAAAACTCTCAGCGGACTTGTGAAAGTGCAGTTGGAGCACAATTTCATTGATATGGCAAATCTGGATGCACATGCCTTCAGATGCTTACGGGGCTTCCAGGTGGTGCACTTCTATTGAGCATCTGAAAAGTTTCATAGGCTTGGATTTTTTTATGCACACAATTGAAATAAAAGTTTATAGTACTGAATCCTGCTTTGAAAGTTTTATCCAAGACCTGTGGTGAATGCCACTATTACGAGAAACCAATGATGAAACTCAAAAACAATATTTATTGTGTGTGAAATTCAGTTTATTGTGTGTGACCCACCAAAGTCTCAGTGTCCGACTATTTTTATGACTCAGGCTGCTTTTCCCAAAAGCCCTTATATGGTAGGAAAACATCTGTTTGCATGCAGCATGAGCAGCCTAAGGTACCTAGAACCAGAATTGTATGACTGCAAATCATCATGTTATTACTGACAGTTTTTATTTCTGGCAGTTTTTCCATGACCAACTAAAGCAAACATTATTATTTTATCCTACAGTAATTAGGTTTTTTTTTTAAAGCTGCTCTGTTTTATTAGGCTAAAAGTTAAATTAAGACTACTTATATGAAGGTAACTGAAGGGATGAAGGAATTAGAAATTAAAAAAAAAAAAAAGAAAGAAAAGCAATTATGTTGAATGTATGTAAACTTGTTTAATTTAATTATTGGATCCAAATTTACTTTTCTTTTTAACATTGTCAGCATTGTTTTCATTTGTCCTAGTTTCTAGAATGTGGATATGTCAGATATGCTGACAGTGAGAGACTCTCTGTGGCCTATGGATTCATGTTTGTTTTGGGTAAAGTGTGAGCTCACTGATTGCAACCATCTATTCTTTCCTCTGTGTGTACCAACAATATGTTTTATGAGTCACTGAATAACAAAGATTCTACTGATTATATACCATTGTCGTGACACTTTATTCGGCTTTTCGTCTCCACTATAACATCTTACTTAACTAGATGTCTGTTTTCCTCAAATCTTCAACGAAAAAGTTTAATCATGTAAATTTGTCAGACTCAATAAAAAACAAGTTAAAATAAAGAACTCGTTTGCTGGTGTATTTGATTGTTTGTTCCTCTTTCCCTGTTTGTAACTATTCCAGCTTTCTGGTTCTTAGTGAAAGAACAAAGACAGTGTGATGGGGCAGTTTAAAGGTTCAGTCTTAGTTATCCTGTCGGTTGACTTATTGTTCCACGGTAAATACATGGCCCAAAAATGTAAATACATTCCTAATAAACTAGCCACTAGATGGCAATAATGTATAGAAGAACATTTCCAATGAGGACAGCCTTGGGGTATGTGTGCAAAACTGAAGACAGAAATGTGTTTTTACCTGGCACAAATACAACACTGTGGCAGTTTAAATGCATATGCTTCAGGAAGCTCATCCTGTCAGGAAAATTATATATTTAAGGTTATTTATGGCTTCAAGGCTCACACTACAATGGGAACTTAATGTGAGCATCGTGCACAAACACAGACAGGGGCAAGAGTCATAAAAAGATTTTCACTCTGAAGCAAATGTGTTTAGGATTTCACTCGCAAAAATTAGAGAGGATTCAACCTGACCACAGGCCTGGAAAAAATATACATGACAGAAGATAAATGAAGAAGGGGAATCTTTTCTATTAGTGAAAAGTAAGACAGAAGGCAAGAATGGGGTAAAAGCATTAGCCCACGTGGAGGTGCTTAGCACTTTTCTCCCTTTTCCTTCTTTCCCTCAGTCTAATAAGTTCAGTCAGCAACGTGGCACTGCACCCATAGGGCCTGGGAAAGAGGAGCAGGAGGAGGGGGCAAGAGGGAGAGCCGGGATGAGGGGGGAGAGAAGTAGAAGAGAGGCTGAAGGAGAGGAGGGAGGGCTCGAAGAATGGATCCAGGCTCCACTGGTTCAGTGCGTGTCCAGAAGGGAAGAGTTTTGGCTGCAGAGCTTACCAGCACCTCCTTACGGTCCAGCAGGACCCTGACCCTGAATCTCACCACCATATCTACCTGGGACTTCTAGAAATCCTACTTATTTCTTTTTATACCTTTGTGCCTTTCTCTTCCTCCATCTGTCTCACTCACTTTTTTTTCCTTTGTTGCACATTATGTTCCTGCACCCACTCACCTTTAAACCAAAGTGCATATTAATTTATGCATATGTGCATGCCTGCGCGCATGCATTTTTCTTCTCTGTACTTGTGTGGGAGTCAGATACGTCATGATCATCTGAACTGCTCCCTTGACACAGTCTGAGCCCGTGTGCTCATTTAAGCAGTTTGGCAGATGGTTGATTTGGCAGATTTGTGTACGTCGGTATCCTGTGCTCGATGCTATCTGATATTTAAGCTTATCCTAACAGGAGGAATGCAGGAGTAGTAGTAGTAGTAGTAAAAGTCGGGGCTTTGCCATTCTTTATTAAGAAAAGCTTTTGCACTGATTGATTTTCATTCAAACATGACTTATAAGGCAAAGCAATCATGTAATATTTGACTAAAGCCCCAACACCACTGACTTAAACATTCTGTCTATTTAATTTAGCATTGCAATTTTACACTTATATACAGATTTCACTCAAACAGTCCCATAGGTACAAATGCTGTGACTGAGAACACAAAATATGCAATTTATTTAATTTTTTTTTCACTCTAATGCTGACCAAAGTCATGAAACTCCTAGAGGAATCTGACCACAAAAGAGAGAATAGGAAGACAGAAAAGAACAGACTGAACAGGATATTAAACCACACCCTAGATGTGATCCAGCCAGACAAAACACACAGGCTGACTGGACTGAGTTGTGGTACTATTCAGCTGTTCAGTCTTTTCCTTTCCCATATTTGTAAAACTTATGAAACTTGTATACATTATCAGATGATTTATATTTTATGCTAAAAGTTTTATTAGCTACAGCAACAATTTTATGGAATACGTATAAACGAAGTGATGAAGTGTTTCAGTGATGGTTGACACTGACAGCATATCATTTGTGGCTGGCCTTTTTCACATACAGTAATTGAATGCAGTTCTAAGAAAGACACACATAAAGAAATCATTTTTGCTGTGTATATGTGCTGGGTTTAAGGGTGTCTTGCACAAAGACACACATACACACCCATCTCTCTCTCTGTTTATCTTGCTGTTCGGCACTATACAAACCAATGGCTGAATTCATCCCCTAAGCCGAGCTCAAACTCTAGACTCCACTATAATTCAACCCCTGTCAACCCTTAACCTTAAATCAAAGAAAAGATGAGTCCTAACTCTAACCTTAAGCCCAGACTCTGAAGATAAGATTGACCAACACGACCTCAGTTCTAAATCTCAAACGTAATCCTAAAGAATATAAAAGTCCTCGTGGAGATTCAAATGGCAGCTCGGTCCAAGCACGGTGACATTTCAAAAGCCAAAGGTAGGTGGCGCTTGAGTTAGCCCGGAGAAAGGGAAGGCAGAGGGAAGTAAAAGAGGGAGGGCAGCAAGTGAAGGAGGAGGCGATACAGAGAGAAACCATGGGAGCCAGAGGGACCTCTAGACACACACATACACACAAATTCAGCCCATCATATGGCTCTGCCTCAGGCCTGCACTAACAATACACACAGGCATGAGCACAGAAGTCACACATGCACATATACAAAATGCTAAATTGCTCTGCACCATCAAATTTTAGTTACACAAAGCTACTAAGGAACATTTAACGAAGGCACCCATTGCAGGGCAATCATTACTAACACATGTGTGCACACACTGTGCACATATGTTACTCAGACTCCACAAGGGGGCCTGTAAATGTTTATCTTCTGGAGCGAGACCGAACATCTTGATCTAAAGCAAAGCACAGTGGTATAAGCAGTCGTTACACTCCAAATGGGCCACATAATGTTATCTAAAGTAATTCATTTGTTGGCCAGTTTGAGAAAGCAGAGAGTGGTTTAGGTGGGATGAGGGAGTCTCTAGAAATGTCACACAACAGATAAGAAAACTTGCAGCAGGAAAGGATTTCCTCTTCTCTTCTTTGTTACAGTTGAAAACGTGTCTTACATTTGCTATCATTGATTTAACGTTTTACTACTGGCATTAAATCCACCTGACACAGGCTTCTAACTAAAAAAAAACTTTGCAGGGTTGGAGTATGCAGAAATATAATTGCCTGTGAGTTATTCCCAGCCTATAAGTACTCAGCAAACATGCTCACAATAACCTGATTTATCAAGTCTTCTTTACGTGTTCTATCCCAGACCTAAAAAGCTGGTTGACAATTCATTTCACATAAAATAAATCTTCCAACTCAGTCTCCTAGCATTAAACTTGATGGTTGTTTATCATCAAGTCAATGCCTGTTTAGCTTTCAGCTTTCCTGTAGCTGGCCATTTGTTTGAAGGTGTTTGCACAGGGATTCATGCAAATAGCAATTACTGTACGTGCATGGAGCCAAT